TTCTCCTTCCGTGCCATGCCTTCTTGTAGCTGACATCCACTTTCCAACACTGTTTCACATCAGCCTGGATCATGTCGACACCGTACTCCAGTTTCTTTCGAATCTTATTACGAATGAGATTTGAAATCATTTGGGCGGTTACATTTCTGTGGTCATTTCTCTCGACCGGTTGCATACAAGTGTGACTATCAGTCCATTCCGTTAGTTCCCACAATTCATGAATCCGTTTGGACTTAGTCACCCGAGCCTTCCACAGACAAGGCGGATCTTCACTAGATCTGCAGACCACTTTCTATGACTTTTGATTCGAATCATTTATCCGAATCTCCCGCAACCTATCGACGTTCCAAGCCATCAGAGCCATTTGGGCTTCTTTCTTGCTCCGAAAAACTATACCCAAACGTATGGTCTCAATGTCACCATTCCAGCGTGGAATAGCATACTCGTCCGCATCTATCCTGGACGAGTCCCATTCACCCATCTCGCGGTATACGTGCCGACCACCACTAGGAAAGGGAAATTCTTCTTCAATGAACTCGGCTTCACTCTCCTCATTCACCGATTTATCTGATTCGGTTTCTGAGGTCTCGTCTGTGAAATCATCTTCACCGAGTACGAACTCTTCGTCACTTTCTTCCCCGTCCTCATTTGCCATTTCTCTAATTGGTGAGCTTGTCCCTTCTCCAAAATTACGTAGATGAGAAGTCGACGTGCCCTCATCCATTCCCCCATAATAAGGAGTAAAATCCTCAAACTGCGGAACCGGTGTAATTGCCTCCAACGATAAATGCAAATACACAACGGACATAGGAGAAGAGAAATAAATCCATTGCATAGCACTATCGTTATCGAGTATTTCGGCATTCCACGAACCATCGCGTTGATGAAACATTAAAGTAATCTGTTCAATTGTCCAACCTTCTCCAAACCGACAATTTTTATTAATCATCTGTACCAATTCTCCATATGATATCCTCCCCGTAATAACAAATGAACCATCCGGATCTATAAATGAAAGAAATTGTTCTTTCGCGCATCGCCAATACAAATTAACAAAATATGGACCGGAATACTCCATTTAGTCCTGTTGCAAAAAAAATCAATTCTTCCCAATTACAATAACACATAATACAAATATTCTTTGAACCCATTTTTTTACTTCCAATCGATTAATCCTCCAAAACCCTAATACAAATAATCCAACAATAAATTAAAACCCCTAATTTCAAAAAACCCTAAGCCCAACAACAACAAATCAATTTGCAATTGACAATTTC